CCTGTGTCCCCAGCTGCCATGTCGCACAACAAAACCAACCCGGTACATTGCGCACTCTCAAAGCACCCATCCTCACGCCCGATGGGTGTGAGCGGGTGAGTTCTGAATACACCAGCAGTGAGAACTCTGGTTTTCCACTATGAAAACGGGCCAAGAAAAGAGAGGAAAAAAACACTTCTCTGCCTTGTCAAGCAGTAAACCCCCAAGCTTGACATCAAGAAAAGAAAGTCCCAAAGCGATTATCGTGGGTGTTACGAAACCATCAAAACTGCTGATGTCGTAAACAAAATCTGTCAACAGCCACTAAGAATTCATTGAAAGTAAATTTATTGTTTGTTAAAAAAAAAAAAAACAAAAACAAAAAACAGAACTGTGCAATATGTGCTTCTCAAGACATTTGGACTCTCGTTTGTTGCTCATCTCTTCTCGGGCTTCAGTTTGGCCAGGCTAAACGAGAAACACGGTACAGACACACGGTTAGTGAGCACAGGTAAGGGAGGCAACCGAGACGCGTGTTTGTTATTCTCTCAAAAGCCTACAAGGTGCGAGCCAAACTATGACATCGAGTTTTAAAATCTGATCGTGTTCGCTGCGTTCTGAAGACGATTATATTCTAAAAAGGGAAAGACAGCCGTATATCTGACTTCAACCAAACAAGCTTTCAAACTAAATTATGCTTTTCCTCATACAGAACTGAATAAAACCATGCTGTAGGGACCCAGGGAGTCATTTTCAATGTAACTGGAGGATTCAGTTTTAACGGTAACAGTGCGACATGGCTTTTGCTTTAGTGGTCCAGGGGGCGGCAGGCCCTCGGCCATCATGTGTCACAGCACCGCACAAAGCACCTGAGGGGTGAGTGGGGTCACGTCCAGGAACCTTCCGTTTCAGAGGGCAGGCAATTCCATGACATTCAAAAGAAAACGATTCTAATTTTTCAGGCAAAGTAGCATCGAATTACACTTATTCAAGGGCTGATAAAAGGGGAATACATAATTTTAAATGCTTACTGTCTGAGAATATTGTCCTAAATAAGGGAATTTATTATCTTATTGATTATTTCATTTTGGAGATGGAAACTCACACACAAACACGCTGCTTAACAATGCTATTGCCTTCCTTTAAAAACGGATGCATTTCAAACATTAAACAACAGATCTCTCTCCTTCTACGGCACGGACTCAGTTCCCTCTTTGGTGACAATTTCCTACAATTGCAGAATTCTCAGAAATATTTTATAGTATTAAATTTGAATAGCCATGCATCCGAGAAGCAGACATACACAAAGGCTCCACATTTCAGACCCTCACGCTGCCCTGCACTTTTCACACAGAACGATCACATCAACAAAGTCAAGTTTACCTTTTTAGTGGAGAAACTCAGCCTTCTCAGATCCAAAGCCATTTTAAATCAAGGCAATGGGAGCGCCTTAGGGGCAAAAGAAGATGTAGTACATACAAGGAGAAAGTCATACAAACACGGGACACTTTACATTTGTCATTTGTGATTTAAAAACTCGCATTAAGGCAGCTTTTGCACTTCATATACTCCATAATTTATAAACAGAGGAGTGATTCACGTGACTCCCAACATTCTTTCCTAGAGCTGTTTATCAATATTTAAACTGTTTTTGTGACTACCATTCAATGCACAAAGTAGAAAACCATGTCGTCTGTATAGAACAACGAATAAAAATACCGACTCAAGGTGCCGTGGTTTCTTCTGGTACAGTTTTTGAGATATGGTACATCTAATCTATGTGGCCCTCATCAAATGTAAACAAAATCACAGACAACTTACAGGGGTGGGAATAGAGTGTGTGTGTTTTGGGGTCAAGGGGAGAGAGATGGTGGGCAGCAGAGCCTGCGAGCCTGTTTTTTGAAGGAAACCATATTACTCTTCCCTCAAAAGACTAAAGAGGAAAAGCTCACATGCCTCAAAAGCTAGACTCCCAACATCTAATGCCCCTTACCCTTACCTTCTTCTTTCTGTTATAACTGAACCAAAAAACAGAAACAAATCATAACAACACCCCCCAATACACACACACACACACACACACACACACACACAGACCCCTGCTTTGTACTTCGGGCCTACGTTGGGCAGCTATACTTGAATCTTCTTACAAAGTGCTCTAAGAAATTATATGCACATACACGTTTTGATTAAGGTATTTTAAAGCAACACTGCTAAGGGAATCACATCCTATTCTCCACAAAAGAACAAAGAGGAAGGAAGAGACTAATTTTTAAATCTTACTATATTCCCCTCTGTTAATTAAAAAAAAAAAAAGGAAACATAAAAAATCAACCTGCAAGTCTATTAGTCTCAAATAATTAGATCCAGTAGGTATGGAAGGTGGTAAAAAAGGTTTTGAAAAGTCTAACAATGCTTTAAGAGTCTTCTCAAATACTAAGGACATTTCATAATGCTGTGAAGGAGTTAGAGGCAACAGACAACCAAACAAAAACCTTCTCTTAGTCTAATAAAGGATTCTCGACTTCTCTTCAAGGAGGAATACTCGCAAGCTTCAACCACTTCCCAAAGGGAAACCAGAGAGAAGATGGCCACATTCAAGTCAACTAGACAAGATGCTGCAACTTGTTAGGGTATCTTTGCATTCTCCATGTGGTGGTATGTGGCTCTCCTGGAAGAAAAAGCCCTGTTTTGTGGAATTCATACACTTCCTGGGGTATAAGTACCCCCAACATGGCTGATTTTAAGCTACCAGCGTGTGGTACCAGCACCGTGCCAATACAGTGAGCGTAAATAACCTCAAAAGCAGAGATCATAATGAAATGTAATAAAATAATTAGGAAGTGATGAGTTTTGAGTTATTAATTACCTTTGATTTTTATAGAACTTATCTAATTTTTAACAATGGCTGTGTTTAACAATCAATTGGCAAAATTTCTAAAAATTGAACAACTGATCCTCACAAGCCAACATGGGCTGGCTCCAGCAAATTGGTCCCAGAAAAGTGTGGACACCCATGATTTTCTCAGTAGCCGTTCTTAAACCCTGGGAGACTGTGAGCTCAGTTTTTAGAAAATAACTTCAGCCCCTGCACTTAAACACAGAAGCTGATTTTTAAGAATACTGAGGCCTTTGAAGTTACAAATGGGTCAACTTCTTTATCACAAAGCTGGCTTTCACTACGTGTTAGAGGTATAATCTGTAGAATTTGATCTAGAGTAAACATCGTACAGTGTTTTACAGAACTTTTAGTAAAAACAGGGCTGGGTTGGGTTGCAGTCAGGGTCCGTTTGAAACAATATATATTTCCCCATGGTCCCCACACTCACCACTCCTCTGGCCCCAAAGAGAAAACTCTAACATAAAGCCTCTCTTACTCTGGAGTCCCAAGCTACAGAAAAAATAATGTATAATTTAAATAATGTATAATTTCTAAAATAATTATAAACAATCTCGAAGTTTGCTTACTTTTTTATTCACTAAGAATACAGCACTGAACGCATCAGATAAATGTTGGCCGATGAAGGAAACCTACAAGCCATCAGCCTTCAGGAAGACTTCACTGGGGGGTGGGGTGGGGCACCTGGAAGTGAGACTGGGCTCCAGGCGGGATGTGTATATCCTAGGGGAGGTTTCCTCTTACTTCATATTCTCTGATTTAAAGAAAAGAGGGGTGCAAATTCCCTCAATGTTAATTGATAGACAACAGCTTTATTTCTGTGCATTATGTAGGTGCCTGATTACGAGCTGTCAGTTTGCATATATAGAGTGAGAAGTCCTCTGCCTAACACAGAAACTGAAATAAAGTGGCAGTTAGCTCAATTCCATCCGTAAGTGTTCCTGGACACGGAATATAATGATGAAAGATGATCTGACTGCAAATGCATTCGGGAGGAGCGGTATATAAACAAGAAAAACTCTGGTGTGAAAGGATGCAGATCCCAGTGTTCTGAAGCACTGAATATGGAAATGCGACCGTATTTAAATTAAAGCTGATACTGCCAATGGGCCGGGCTCCGTGTGATCTGTGTCTATAGTTTACTTATTCCATGCACTTGACTTAGCCAGACATCCACAGGACACATCTGGTATGTGTGTAGCCTGCAGGCTGGGCCTGAGTCCTCGCTTCACGGCCTTGACTTATCTATCTATAACTCCCTGAGTTATTGAGGTCAACCTCAGGACCATAAATCAGGAAATTGTATGAAAATAAAAACTCTTGTTCACATTTTGCAATTAATAAAAAGCTAAAAGGAAGGGATTCATAATGCAGGATAACTACTTTTTGAAGAGTCAAGGGGCTATGCCATCTGTTTTCAATTTTAAAGCATCATCTTGATATGTTTAGGGGTTTAATTTATGGAACAATCAAGCAATCTTTATATTTAACATTAAATACCTGAATATTATAAATCACCTCCGATGAACGTTTATGGGAGAGTTTCAGAGCAACTTCTGAACGACTTGTCACTTTTACTGTGCAGCCATGATTTGTAAAAAAATGATATGCTAAGTAATCCTAGAGTATAATTTAGGGGCACAAAAACAACTGTCAGGAAACAGCCAGAGACTGCATTTAATGAAATCTTTACCGACTGAAGTAATAAGTATCACATTAATCAACACAGCTTAATTGAAGCTCTATTTGTAACATTTTTTTTTTTATTAGACTTGTTATTAATGAACCTTTGTATGCTACCACTAACTTGGGCTCGATGTTCAACTTCAACAATGAACAATTGTTCACAAGCACAAAAGAACAAACACGGCTGTGAGGGCCCTTTGTCTCTGGCCCTCCTCCCTCTCCACAGTTATTTACATGGTTGGCAAGAAAGCATCTTTCAGGCTCTTTAAAAGGGTCTGAGATAGTTCAAGTGCAAATCCTTAAGAAAGTAAAAACACAGCAGCGAAGCCTGGGAACTAGAGAAGAATCTCCACTGACCTCAACGACAAGGTCGTCAAAGCTGTGCTTGCACTGGCCTGGCCCTCACACGGGGGTGGCCCCGGCTGGCAGCACCTACCTGAACATGTCTCCCAGGCCCCTCAGCTTCCCCTTCTTGGCTTTCATCTTCTCCTTGTCTCTGCCCTTCGTCTTCTCTTTCCCCATTTTCTCCTTCCTCCGATCGGCCTTCTCGCCTCTCTCTTGGTTTCCATTCATCTGTCTCTCCAGAGAGTGGGAAGGCTGGTCGCTGGCTGTGGAGACAGACTCTCTCCCTGATCTGGAACTTTCTTCCGTGTCTTCTTCCACTTGGAAGGAAACAAACACACAAAAAAAGATAAGGAACGCAGGGAACCAAAGGGACAAAAATAAGGAGGCTGAAGTCGTGTGAGGGTTTTCTTTCCCACATTTCCAACTAGGCCTGCAAGGATATTTACTTCTGAGTAGAATCAGAATGAACGCGTGAATCAGAACGAACGCGTGACGTGGATGATTACTACGCACATGTGTACTCCTGCGTGAAGATGATGGGCCAATGGTAAGAGAGTAACGGTAATAGTAATAGTAACAGTAATCTGGCTCCTGGGCCGGATGGATTCTCTCGCGTTGATATAGAGCCTGTACTGCTGGGACGATAAGCAAGCCCTCATCACACAGCCAAGCCCAAGGGTCCTGAGTACCACACTGGCGAAATGAAGACAAGCAGCCCCTCGCCAAGAGCCTCCTTTCCTCTTGGGTAAGGATGATGTAGCTCCACCCCAGCCCCTGATGAATTTGTTCAATTGCACCACTCCCTAGTAAGCACACCAGTGTCAGCACAGGACTCCTCTCCTCAGCCTCCCAAATACGTATGACCCTTTGTGATTTCTGCATAGAGAAAACTGGATCTTCACAGCCTGTCTAACTTTTCCTTATATTGTCATTAAAAGGCCAACATCATAAGCCAACGCTCCTATATGTTCTAATCCAAAATAATTCTGCATGTCGGTCGACACAATGGCAGGTGAACAGAGGTGGATGGAGACACGAAGGCATAAATCCACAGCCTCACACTCCTTTGAACTTTGCAGATAAAAGCTCTGCTTAGTGATAACGATGTTCCATCCTTTGAAGCAACACTTAGTAAGCATATGGTCCAAGTGCATACCCCCAACTTTTTGCATTTGAAAGAAGGACAAGTAACTATAGTAGGTTTCTACCTACAAAAGAACTTTAGGAATTTCTATATTAAGAAGCAGTAGATGCACACATCAACAGCCATTCTCATAAACCCTTTTTCCAGATTAGCTGCCTAAGCTGTTCTTACAAATATATTGATAATAAGAACTACTGGGGTTCCAGATTACCCCTTGAAATCTGAGGTCATTTTCCCCCTGCATCAACAAATAAAGTATGAATCAGTGTTTTTCTGCTTCTTCTAACAGAGAAATATATAAGACAGTTAGAATTCTTTCACAAAGAACTGACCTCTAGATCAAATTAATATATCTTCAAATGAAATTCAGTCTTGCCTCTCCACCAGCACTTGAGTTAGCAACACACAAAATCAAGAGTATAATAAGACCAGTTAAAACAATACTAGTATCAATTTACTTACAAAACAGAAACAGACTCACAGACTTGGAAAACAAAGTTATGGTTACCAAGGGGGAAAGGCAGGGGGAGGGATAAATCAGGTATTTGGGATTAACATACACACACTACTATATATAAAACAGATAATCAGGGCTTCCCTGGTGGCGCAGTGGTTAAGAATTTGCCTGCCAATGCAAGGGACACAGGTTCGAGCCCTGGCCCGGGGAAGATCCCACATGCGTGGAGCAACGAAGCCCGTGCACCACAACTACTGAGCCTGAGCTCTAGAGCCCGCAAGACACAACTGCTGAGCCCACGTGCCACAACTACTGAAGCCCTCGCGCCTAGAGCCCGTGCTCCACGACAAGAGAAGCCAGCGCAATGAGAAGCCCGCGCACTGCAACAAAGAGTAGCCCCCGCTTGCCGCAACTAGAGAAAGCCCGCACACAGCAATGAAGACCCAACACAGCCATAAATAAATAAATTAATTAATAAAATAAAATAAAATAAAAGATAATCAACAGGGAACACGGAACTCTGCTCAATACTCTGTAATCGCCTATATGGGAAAAGAATCTAAAAAAGAATGGATATATGTATATGTATAACTGAATCAACTTGCCATACACCTGAAACTAACACAACATTGTAAATCAACTATACTCTAATGTAAAATAAAAATTAAATTAAAAAAACAATCTTAGTATCTATGTTCTGCTATTAAACCCTCACAGATCATAGATGATGCTATCAAATGATGGCACAACCATAACCAAGTAATTCAGTTTTTTAAAAAGTGCCAATTATTTAATGTAATAACAGAAAAAGTGTAGAATTCTTTTGTTTTCACATTTGATTAAAAATACAAGCCAACATATTTCCCATCCCAGCAGGTCATGCCCTGGGTACAGCCAAAGAGTAAAAATACCACTGTGTCTAAATCCGGAAGGTACTTTGGAGGTCATCTGGACCAACTTCTTCCATTTCTTGCTGAGGAAACAGAGAGATCTGGGGCCAGCACACCGCCAGTGTGGGGCTCGCTCTACTATTTTATTCTGGTACAATTGTACCTCAGCCAGACCTTCGTGCATTTCTTTGATCAACTCTGTGATTGCTCAATTCCACGCTTCATACAGCATGGATGTTGGTCATCTATCATCCAGTCACTCCACGGTCTGCCCAGAAGATCATTCCAGCAGCCAGCACTGCATCTCAAGAAACCCACTGTCAATCCTGTAGTCATTCAGCTCCGTGACTTGTAGCTGCTACTGAGGAAATCACTCCAGAAGCTCGATCATATGTGCACAGGGACTCGAGGACCAGCTCCCAACCACAGAGATGAGCAGAAAGGCTGGCCTCCCTCTGCACTGGGGTATCTAACCGGAAGCCACTCTCCTCTTGCAAGAGACAAGGCAGCTCTTTAAAAAGTTGCTTCTTTCCCTCTCTGTCAGTTCACATGGAAAAGGAATGGTGCGGGTTTATTAGAGAAAGCCAGTTACAGCTTTCAGATGGGCATTGCTAGTGAAAATCCATAGCCTTACAAATAAATGCTGAGTTAAGGCTGTCATTTTTGTGTGGTGCACAGAGAGCAGGGAAAGACTCCTGGCCCGGGGGGCTTGCTGTGTAGCCTTTTCAAGGGGTGTTCCCCAAGAAAATGTAAATATAGCCTATGCAGCGTTGGAGCATCCTGTCGGAAAACACCCTTGCACTTGGGTATGCTCTAACTGATGGTAAACCATGGCTTCCACATTATGGGAAATGGGTGTGGCCTCAACTTTGAGGTAATGGACCAAATCAGGATAAAACAGTTCTCAAAAGTTCCCGGGAACTACAAAACCTGGGTGTGTCTATTGGTAGCTCAAGTTAGATAAATGAATGCCGGTGATTATTCTAAAAGTCTCGCAGACAAAACTCCTTTTACCTATCCGTCCATAGCGCTTTGTACAAACTTTTATTATTGCACTTCTCATGTGATACGATCACAGGTCCGTTTCCCATTCCCTAAACTTCTAAAATGAGGACTGCTGAGCAGACGGCGGCTGCCCGTAAATGGCTGTTTAACTGGAAGACTACTGGTGAGTCTGACACGTGACTTTATCCCAACCAGACAAACTTTTATCCAACCTCTGCACATCACCATCCTCTAGCTTCAGAACAATGTCTAGGCTCCTCTAATGAAGCCTGACAACACATGCCACACGCCGGTAACAGTAACCCCAGGAAGGCCACTGTGCTTGGTTAAGCTCTCGTCAGTTTCTGGTAGGGTTTTATGCTATTATTGTTTGGGCTCTACGTATTATCCAGTGGCTTGCCTGGCCGCCTACAATGTCTGAGACTATAAACAAAAAAAAAACACGAGCTCAATACATGTAAAAGACTTCGTCTTCCACAGGGACCATTGTCATAAATCATGAATGGAAAGATCAGTAGCAATTCTGCTCGTTTTCTGCCTAATAGTTTTGGGAGAGGCACATGGGACATATGTCTGTCTGCTCTCGGCTGCGTCACAGAATAAAGGCGGTGCGTTCACAACCAAGTATATGTTGAAGTCACATTTGTTGCCAATTCCTTTCATCTCCACAATCATTTCCTGGTGTACGTAAAACAACTTATTTTCTAAACTGGGTGAAACACAGAAAATGAGTATTAAGTCGTTTATTACCTTCAGGTTTTGTAACCTCATGTCATAAAATCAAAACTCCTCGCTCAGTTTCCTGCCCCGAGCAAGTGGACTGTTTTACAATCATACTTGCACATTTGAGAATTCTTTATGCTTATTCTGAACGTTCTGATTGAGATAATACACTATCACAGAAACTCTTCTGGGGGTGTACTGATGTAACTGATCCCTTTGAATGCCAACTAATTAAAAATATTTAGCAATATGTGCCTTCATATGCATAAACATAAGATGTTCTTTTAGAGTATTACACTGTGTATGCTTCAAACGCTAAAATTATTTGATAGAGAAAAATAAGAATCTCACTTTACCCCATCCCTATGCAGAATTACTGTGGTTTTTAAAAGCTTAAGTAAATTGGTTACACGTGCTTAATTTTTTTTTAAAAAATGTATGTATTCAAGGTCACTGATAGTCAGATTTTGTTTTCAGTTTTAAAACCAGTCTTTGTACATTTAATACTAGCTTTATAATAAGGTACATAAAATATTTTTATTCTCTTAAACTACAAAAGATATTCAGATAAACAATTTTTCAAGTAAGAAAAGTACTGGTAATATATCATCCGTAAATGGCTTGATTGATTGCGTTCATACAATAGATTACAATGCACGGACTAATCATAAACCTACATTTAGGTAATTGACTATTTTAAATGCTATATAAATTTTACATTTTTTCTCTTTAATTTTGCTCTTTGAAGATTGTTTGCTTTCCTTCTGCAGATAGTCTGCACAAAGAAAGATGATTACCTCCTTCCAAACAAATGGAAATTTCTATTTTTGACTAACATTTCTGCTCTGTGCACTGCGTTATCAGCTACTTTCCTGTGTGATTACCTATAAAAACAGATACTTTCAAGTTTCTCTTTTTAAAGAAGGTATAACGTGAAGCTGCTTATTTTTCTTTCAGGCAGCACATTCTATAATTAAGACATACCTAATTACCATGTTTTCAACAGATGCAAATACAGCTCAATTAAAATTCTAGTCCATGCGACAAATTCAGCTACTCAGTTCTGCAAGATATCACGTTAGGACTGGGTCACCAAGA